AATCTCTACGAGCACGTGAAAATTTTGGCAAGGAAATTACTAACTAGGGTGTGAGAAAAGCTGAAAGGCTAGAATTTTGAGGAAATGTTCCTTACTTATGTATGACTAAAAAATTTCAAATTCAGCTCTTCTAGTGGTGTCTTTTCGCGCACCAGCAACCTTCCATTCCTCGAATCACTGAAGCTGGCATCTGCAGCTGAAATGCCATATAATTTCACAATTAACTTCCTGAACTTAAAGAGCCAGTATATCACAAATTCTAGCTATTGTGACTTTGTTACAGCATGAAATAGTGCAAAAACGCTTGATGCTCGCCTGGTGCCTTCCAGCCTAGGTTTAAAAATGAGCCCACTTGAATAAAGAACTAAGATGCAGCAAAGCGATTTTCTTTTCTTTTGTTGAGTAACTCCTATACAAGCATTTGCTACTCAGCAACTCTGGCGACTGAATGTTTATATTCAGGTCGGATCCAGTCACTAAGTGTTCGCAATAAGAAAATTTTGAAAGGCATTTCGTTGCTTTCGCTGGAATTTGGTACGTTAAGCGAGGAAAATTTAGCACTAAAAAACGCACTTGTGAATGCTCAAAGATCTATACATATGCTGCAGCTGCGGTTAAACATCGATCCTTCACTGACAGATTCTGAAGTTAGTCAATTTGAATTTAAAACAGTTTGCTACAAGTTTCCAGTTTCTCTCAAAAAAAGCTTAAAATAAATGGACAACATCCTTCATGTTTTCCCATTGATTTTTTCTTCATATTTTGACAATTTTTATTTTCACTTATTTCATCTGCAAAATTCTTCCGACATTTTCAGTTTTGGGTTCTTTTCATTTTGGACTTTTATTTCGGTAATTGTAAAAATAAGTTATTTCTTGTTATAATTTTTCTACCGCTTCATTAATCGCAATCCTAATCTTCTACATATGAAAATTAAGAAAAAAGTAACAAAACTAAATTATTATATCACGTCGGAACGGCTAGACCTTTAAGCGAAATTAGTTTCTGTGAACTTTAAGATTTCATACACCATCACATTTTAAGAGATCCATTAATTTTTATCACTTCTGTGTCTTCCAAAACGTCTCTGTGTTCGGGCCCATCTAGGTCAAGCAGAGAAGGACTTTGAATACAAGGACTTGCTGCATAATTTAATCCCTCATTAGACTCATTTGACATTATATGGGCATAAATCGGGACTTGAACCGTATTCGGTTGAATTTTTGAACAGTTGTACTTCATTCCCAAAAAAAAAAACAAAATAGATACGCTAAAAAATGGTGACTGGATGGAAATGAATGCAAAGTGGTTAATGAAACTGTTTAGGTACCACAAAATGCGGAGAAAATGTGCCAGACAGAAGACGCAGAACAACCGGCATTAAATTTGGAGCTTGGCGCATCTGGGCAAATTCGAGCTCAAGATGAAGAAAATAACAATATAAGAAAAAGATACGACCAAGAGACAGCTGCTGCGCTACAAAAGAACATGTACCAGTTGATTGAAGCCAAGGTTAAAAGTTTTACTGTCGTGAACCCGAGAGCAGGCACTTGTTAATTTGGAACTTTTTTTGAAATGAGTTGTGATGGTTGGACTGATGTTCAATTCAGTTATTTCTGATAGTTATTTTCTGAAAAGAAGTTCTCATAGAGCATTTTCACGTTTTTATACAACTGCAGATTGAGCTGAAGAAGTTGGCCGCAGATATTCGTGATGTTGCGCATAAGGAGCTCAGATGTATACGCAAAAGCTTCGAAACAAAAGTCAGCTGTTATGTTGGGTCATTGGTTCAGCGCTACCTCAGAGAAGTGGATGCCCGGAAGCGTTTGCACAATAAACTTGTCGAACTTAGCGGTACCGCATTTATCAGTTTTTATCACAAGCTCCGTCCACTTTATTTCAGTACATGCAAGCGGAAAAATTACTTCAGAGATTTACTGTTTTGTAATGTTAAAAATACAAGGGAACAAATGGTCTTCAGTCTTCTCTGTTTTAGATCTCTCTCTTTTTTACACAAGCGGATTCCTCAATTTCGGATTTTCTTCATCCCGGTGTCCTGGAAGAATCCGCTTTAACGCCAGTGTGCAATTGTGAAGGAGTTCCAAAATGGAGAAGGCTGAAGACGTTTTCAACTGCAATCAGTAATGAGAATGAAGCTTATCGATGAAACAGCACATCATTTTAAAGTATCTTTGTGTTTTGCAGGTAATATCCGCGTTTTCTGTCGAATCCGGCCAGCAGCATCAGAAAGCAGTGAGAAACTGTGCGTTCACATTGATCCATTTGACAACAGTCTGATTACAGTCGATATGGCGAATGGAGAACGAAAAAAATTCAACTGTGATCGAGCGTTCAGTGAAAAGCACACTCAAGCCGATGTAAATTTATTGTTTTGTTAAGTTTCTTTTTTGTATACTTATTATACCTCAACTTTCCATTCAGTTTTATATACGTATTTGTTGTCAAAATATTAGTTCATCGCAGTTCCCAGCTTTTAATGAATTATTCTCAAAAACTGATTTGTCCTCAGTTTTTGCGTTGCTTTTGTAGATATTTGAAGAAATCAGCCCAATCATAACGAGTTGCATGGACGGCTATAATGTTTGCATATTTGCATATGGCCACACCGGAAGTGGGAAGACGCATACCATGGAGGTAAACTGCATTTTTTATGCGTTTTTTGCATCTATGAAGTGCAGAAAACATACATTGACGAAGAGTTGTCTGTGTGTGTGCCTGTGTGTGCGTCTGTACCAACTTTTTATCTCGAGACCTACAAAAGCTACGGGGCTGAAATTTTCAGAACTGAGTCTGCGTGCACGTACAGGCTCCAATCCCCAAAATGGGCGCCTTACCTGCGTGGTACCCAAGTATGGGCTCGCCAAAGTTTGTTACGGGCAAGCTACTAACTCGGGAACCAGAAACACTGGAAAGCTGAACTTTTAAGGAAGCGTCCCTCGTTCACGCAGATATTAATGAGTTCAAACCCAGCTCCCGGGTATGCGGGCCAGTAAAAATTTTTTTCGGATAAGTGGCTAACTCGGGAACTGGAAAAACTAGAAGATTGTAATTTTAAGGAAATGCTCCCCGTTCACGTAGATGTTAAATGAGCTCAAACCCAGCACTTGATGTTTGTTGTGGTTCCTATGAACGGGCCCATGAATTTTTTTGCGGGTAAGTTGCTAACTCGGAAGCCAGGAGAACTAGAAAGCGGAGATTTTAAAGGGTGTTTCCTGACAGTCCTGGCGGCCAGTCTTAATTTGTTTAGCTAGAAGCATTTGCCGAAAAAACCGGTGC